AGCCGGCCCCGCCGGCGGGATACTTTTTGGGCGGAAGAATAACTTTCAACCGACCCCATTTTAATTTTCCCGGTTTTGGCAAAAAAGGAGGGGGGGGGAAAACCAAAGCCTTCCCCCTCCTTGGCCGGGGAAAAAGGGAACCTTGGAAAGGGGGGGGCCCCCCAACCCTTCCCCCCATTTTGGTTTTTTTACAGCATTTGGCCCCCCCCCCCCCCCCGCCACCATCGAAAATATATAATTGAGTTGAAGCGTCATGCACAAGGCATGGGAGTGTTACCCGACTCAGCTTAAAACAGTTCCCCACACAGGATATCTGGGCGCGCAATAACAAACCACTGGGGTCTCACCTGGGGTGCTTCCTTAAAAACGCCGGTCAGGGCGAGAAAGCGCAACCGCACTGACGACCCACCCACAGGGCAAACACACACGAACACTCAACCCCCCCCCTCCCCCTCCCCCTCCCCCTCTCCTCGACGGAACCCGTTGCAACGCGCCTCGTCGCCGGCACAAACCAAAAATAATCAAAAAAAAAATCAAGGGAGGGCAAAACTGAGCGCGCGAGGCCAGCCGTAAGGACGTCTAGAGGGGGCATGTGCAAATCCCACCCCATCTCTTTCTCTGGACATGAAAAAAACATAACAAAACAAAAGATAGCAAAAAAAAGAGGTGCGGCATGCTGACCTTTTCGCTCGGTTTACCCTTCTCCCCTCGCCGAAGAAAGGCGACTGCCTCCCGCCGACACTCGGCGGAGCCCCCCGGTGCGCAAATGCTGTGGAGCAGGCGGCGGGTTCAATCCTCTCTTAGTCAGGCTAGTCATCGCTCCTTTTTCTCTATACTTTCTCGCCGATCAAACGGGAAACGTTAGCGTACTTGGAAGTATTTTCGTCTGAAGGGGGAAAAACGGTTCAAAAAAAAAAAAAAAACAAGGGAGTACTTTCGCATTTCGTCTGGATGAGAAAAAAGAAAACGATACAAATATAGAAGAAAATCTTAACAAGCATATCTCGCAGATGCTAAAAATACAGTTTTGCCGGTCCCTGCCGACCCGCGTGTGCCCCGCCGGGTTCAGCTCAACATCGCTGACTCGACTGGACACAATAATTTCCCTGAGCGATAGTTGGGTTTCTCAATCCAAGTTCCCACTCCCAACTCTGGTCTTTCCTAAAAACACATGAGCGCAATATCAGCCAGCCGGCTTTCGAAACCGACGACACCTGCTGAGCGTCTCATCTCCGCAATGATTGATTCCTCGAACAACAGATCTATGCTACCGCTCCCGGGGACAATCATGATGCAACCGACTCAATCCCTGCCCCCCTTGCCGCATTTCACGGGGGGGGGCGGTGTTCACGAGGTGACGCCGGCGCCGGTTTCGGCTACCGTTTCCTCCAGGGAAGTTACCCCAGCCGGTGCTCTATCGGACGAAGACTCTCCTGCCCCAGCCTGGCCACGAACAGAGAAAAACAACCACGACGATTGGCGTTGAACCAAGATTGGCGTAAGTGTGTAAAAAGGGAGGGTATTGTATAGCATGCGTGCGCGCCATCCAATGGGAACATGTTGAACTCTTCGTACTGTAGAACAGGTCGACGATTGAAGGGCTACACAATGTTGTACGTGGAATGGAGTTGAGGACCTGCAAAAGGGAGAATAGACAGACATAGGGACAAGAGCAAAGCGCGCCTCGCGCAACACACACACACAAACAAATGGCGGGTCACACCCAACCTGCATGCACGCCTCCTGCCGAAAACATACTTCGCACAACACAAAATAAAAATGACAGAAAAGGCGGCAGCCTGCATCCACTCGCATTTCCCCCCGCCGACTCCCACGATACAAACAACGCAAAATATGCTGCAGGTACTCTCCGCTGAAAGGTGTAAAGCTGGCCTTCCCCGACAAGGAACAGTAGATGGGACGAAAAAAACAAAATTACAAGAAAGTCGAAAACGGTGGAACAAGCAAAACAGCATGACCCACGTCAGCTCGCTTCATCGCGTCCTCGTCGAAAACGGTAGTGGTTCCCCCTCCTCCCTGAGCATCCTCGTAGTCGCTCGAGCTGGTGGACGAGTCGTCGGTGTCTTCCTCGTCGTCCTCGAAGGATCCTGACGTCATCCCCGCCGAGGAGGTAAACGACGAGCTCACGCCGCCGGAGTTGGACCCGGAACCGGATATGCCCGAGGACATGCCGGAGGACCCGAACTGGCGCGTGTCTGGGGGCGGGAGGGCGGGGGCGCCGGGGAATGCTAAGGGGGGTACGCAGCTACTACATTGTGGTTTCTCTTGTGGGAGGCGTGAGACGGTAGTGCCGGGCGCGTACTGATATCAATGTATCGTCCATAAACACAAGCCATTGTTTGGGCCTACGGTAATGATTCTCAGCACGTCCACAACAACAGTGGCGTGGTGAAAGAACCTTGATCACGTCCAGCCATCTCTATGACAACCCTAACGCCACGACACAGAACATCGATCTTGCAAGCAATCCCCACAAGCCTTCCCCCCTAACCCCACAATCACCCACTCCGAAACATTAACACTGCCCTAGACGCGCGCACGCTACAGCAGCAGCAGCAGCAGCAGCAGCCGCTATGCCTCTCGCTCTCACCATCGGACGTGTAGTGATCGCTGGATTGATTGTGGGACGACCTGCGGCCTCCCGCGGGGTCTCCTAGGGGCCCGACAAGCTCGTCGCTGAACGAGCTGCTGCCCGTGGACTTTTGCTGCGGAGGCGTGGTTCGGCGAAAGGGTAAGGGAATAACACAACACAATAAAAAAAGCGGCGAGTTGTTAGCGTGGCGGGCTCTCTCCCCCGAGGGCGATTTTATTCTTGTTACCATGTATTTACAGAGAAGTGCCGTCGATGGATAAACAACTCAGCTTCATCAACAACTACGAAAAGCTGTCGCTCGGACCGGCACACGAGGAAAAGTTAGCTGCTTCAAGTAAACAGCAAACGTTGACCCCGCCGCTTCTCAGCCATTTTCTTTCGTTCAAAACATTTCACTAACCGCGCAAGTACCGGCCTAAGGTGAACAAGAGTCACGGTGCACTTTCAAAGCCAAAGGGTGAAGCGGTCAGGCAGTCGCACCGCACCATTCCTTCCCAAAAGCTCTCGAACCCGCTCCCTCTTCAGGACAAGAAGCCTCCTATTGTAGAACACCCCCAAACACACGACCAACTCGATGGAACTCACGTCATTTCATTGGTCACTCGGTTAGCGCGGCCGATGTCCACGCAAAAAAAAAAAAAAAAACACACACACACAACACAGCGACAGCCTCCCTCCCTCACCTGACCGCGGGACAAAATCTGTCGACCAGACGCCTTGACCTTCCCCGTCGCACCGGCACCAGCGGCGGCGGCGGAACTGAGGGATTGATCCCCGACCCCGCCTTCAGGGGAGCTGTTCTCCTCCTCGGGGATCTCCTCCAGGGCCTGGCCACCAACGACGAGGTGTTCGCTGTTGCCGCCCGAAGAGCTGCCCGACTCCCTGCGCTTGCCCTGCTGGGAGATGATGTCTTCGACCACAGCGGTATCCTACATCGTGATGGTGGTCGTCGTAAGCGGGCACAACAGGCAAAGAGGAAGTCAAGGGCAAGGGAAAAGGGAGGAAATGTGAGGGGAGGGGAAGAGAGAAGCACAGGCGACGTTGTTAGGCGGCGTGTGCGTGAGCAGAGGATCAACGCGGCCCAATGGAAGGCGTTCACGGTGGGCCCGGTCGCTGCACTCAACGGCTTCACGCATGCATTTCCGACAAGTTACTTAATGTGCCGTGCTCACCAACGATCGGCCCGGCGCGTGCCCGTAAGGCCATGGTGTTTATCTTATCCAGATAGGGTCGGCGTTAACGACCACACGCAACCTCCAAAAACGCCCAAAAACAGGGGTGGTCAAGCGCTCCCCCACAAAAAACGGCGTCGAGACTCCACCCAGACATTCGTCAGCACCGTCTTAGTCGCGCAGCGATAACAAAAACAAAAGCATCGCAATCTTCACCATGGCCGTGCGAAAAACAATGCGAGGCTAAGGAAGGTCGCGCGCGCAGCGGCAAAACACGCCGACGCATGGCATCGTTGGGAAGTAAGCTTGGAAGCAACAGCCATAGTTCTTCTTCGACTGACCGACCGACTAGACAACCGGACATCACACACCAAAAACACGCAAATACGGGACGGATACGCACCAGCTGTCGGTCAGACGACGCAACGCCTCGCCCCTTGAAGGTGGGCGAGGAGTCGCGGTGCTTGTCTCCGGCCCAACGCGCGCCGGTGGTTGAATCGTCGTACGTATCGTCCTGCTCGTCCTGCGACATATTGTAGCGCTGCCAGGCCTGCGATGACATGCGATGCGATGTGAGGAGATGCGATTGATCGGAGGAGACGGACCAACGATCAAATGGCGACACGATCACCGGCGCCGTCATGATGATGAGAACAACGACCAACGACAAACCCTACACTCGTCGAGGGACTTCGGGTAGCGATGCGATGCGATGCGATTGGATGGAGGAGGCCGGCGATCAAAACGCGACACTACATATTCCACCGCCGCCGTCATGATGCCAACAAGGCATACTGCCGTGCGTACGGATGAGCGTCTGGACACTCACAAATCGGACGGGTACAGTACAAAGCGAATCACGCGAGAGGTCCGCCGAACAAAGAAATTATCACGAAGAGAACCACACACCTCGCTGCGGTTGGCATAGGCACGGGCAGAACCACCAGGAACAGAGTACAGTAGCCCTTACAGCGAAGGATGGCAACCGACCGCGTGAACGCGACTCAACACAGAAGCTATTCTAGCTACCACACCAACAGGTGGACCACCACTACCATCACGGCATCCATGTTTTATTCGAGATTTTATGCACCCTCGTTCCGTCTCACCCAGCAGAGGCAGCACAGCCAGAGCAGCAGCAGCAGGGCGGCGGCCAGGATGAACAGCCAGTAGTTGCTGGCGTCAGCACCATCTGAGGACACGATAGTCTGGCCCACCACACCGTCCGTCTCGGAGCTGTCCAGGACTTGGTCGCTTTCGTCCGCGCTCACGATCAAGCTGCCCAGGGTCAACTGCACCACAGAGCCCCCCGGCACGAGACAGGACCAATGCCAGAGACACAGAGCAGGGAAAATAGAGTCAGTGCGACAACAACAGCGTCCGAAAAAGCGTGCACGAGGCTTTGTGAACCGGGTCGAGCAACGCCGTGCAAAACACCGGTCAAAAAAAAAAAAAGGACGTAGGGGATGCTACATGCCCGTGACCGTGCGCGACGAAAGAGGGTATCCCTACAAGGAGGTACATCAAGAACAATAACAAAATCCCTCAAGGGCAGATACCTACCTTATCCCACGTCCGAGGACGGCAACACGAACACCATCACCAGCACCACCACTAGCAACAACGACCGACAGCAACAACACCAACAACTATAGTGCAACACTGCAAGCGTTCTAACGTCCGAGGATGACAGCAGCAACAACACAACCAAAAACACACACACAATGCAAGCTTTTCTCACGTCCGAGCCCTCCACGCCCGCCGCAGAGGCAATCTTCTGCAGGTTCTCCTTGTTGCTGATGCTGTCCACGCCGCGGGCAGAGCTCCCTCCGGAGTCGTCCTCAGCTCCCGAAGAGTAGACCACCGTCGCGGTAGCCTTGACCGTACACGTGTCACCGTTCTCGAGAACACATTCCTGTTCATCATTCATGGTGATGGCGAAGGGATGCGGATTACCTCTACGTTTTTCTTCACAGGAGCGAGTAAGTTGTTGCACAACCAGACAGTGTTTTAATGCAGCGTCAAGAGGGTTGCCGACGGTCACAATCGGCAACGTGAACAACCAACGCCTGTATCCGAAAAAAAAAAAAACGCCTGGAAGAGACAGGACAGTACAACAGCACAGTAAAAAATATTCCCACGTGGTTTCAGCATGCACTACATCTACATCAAAAAGCCATCAGACGCGTTACGTACCACCCTGACTAAAGCATTTTCGGGCCCCACACATCCCAAAACCCGCAACCGGAAGACATATTTCTTCACAACACAGAACAGCTCAAGGCCGGGCCTCTCACAACGTTCTGAAGAACGTTCTACACGAGACCTCTGGTCAAGATCCGAATCCAAACCCACTGCAGCTTACCGTCTCTTGAAGCCTGCGACGTCCGCGCACACGCGTCCTCCGGGTGGACTCGTCATTGGGAACGGAGAGGTCGTCGATAGACACGTTCACGGTACGGGGAACACTGTCATCGGAATCCGAGATAGCCTCGGCCATTCCTTCCTCAAGGTCCGCCTAAATACGCACAAGAACCGGAGCGGACAGCAAGAGGGAGTGAGGGAGAAGAGACAGGGCAGAGAGCAGCAAAACAGCAGCAGCAGCAACAACAGAACAACAAAATCGATAAAACTACATCGTCAGAGACCAACAACGGTTTATGAGTGTAAAAGAGAGAAGAAGCATGAACAAATTTCTGCGAGAAGCAACACACATGGGAGACAAGAAAGGAAGCAGTGGGACGTACGCGTCTCCAACATAAAGAAGACGGCGAAAACAACAATAGTCACAAGAGAGAGGTGGCGAGATTCTGACACTTTTAACCTCCACAGCAATACCACAAGTCCTCCACAGAAATACCAAAAGAGAACAAGCTGCAGCAGCACACCCACACGCCAGAAGCATCACTCCGGCCGTGAGTCAAATCTGACCGGCCAGTACATCGCAGTCAACAATAACCAATACGTACCGCCCAGCAGGCGAGTCAAAACCCAAACCTCGGCAAACCAATAAAGTGGTCATTTAGATAGGAAACGCATCAGCCTAAAACAGCACCGCCACCGACTGCCCACCTGCAACTCCTCTTCGGTCCTCCCAAAGACGCCCGCCAGCTCTAGAGAGGCGGTCATCGTAGCCGACACGGGTACTGGGACTGTCGGCGCGATCGTACTTCCCAGCACTGCAAGAGTGGTGTTGAAACGGTTTCGAACCGGCACATAGTCAATTGGTGGTCGTGTCGAGTCGGATGTAAACAAACGGACGAGAACTAGACCAGAAGCAACACGCCCACAAATGTGCGCCAAGTATTGAACAGGGCAGGCCATATCGTACCACAAGGAGGAAAATCCCCCATGTGGTGCATGAGCGAGAACAAGGGAAACAACATTGGGTGGGTATGGCAAGCAAAAAAAAAAACGGCCGCAGAACGACAGAGACCACGACACTCGTGAAGGCATAACCGCACACGGCAAGTCTCAACCCCTAATGATTCACATATATGACGCGATACGATAGGTTATCACCCCCAATCCCACCTGTGGGTGCAGCACTTGGTACAGCACTTGGAGAGGCACTGGGCGCAGCGCTTGGCATCGCACTTGGTGCTGCGCTCGGCATCGCACTTGGCGCGGCGCTTGGCATCGCACTTGGTGCAGCGCTCGGCATCGCACTCGGCGCGGCGCTTGGCATCGCACTTGGGACAGCGGTGGGAGCCGCGCTCTGTGGAACGGTGGGAGCCACGGTAGGGGACGCCGTAATGAATTCCCTCGTCAGATTCGGCGCCCACGTCGCGTCAGGAGCGAGCGTCGTTCCCGGTGCCATGGTGATGATGGGAGCCAACGTAGTGCCGGGAGCCAGCGTTTCGCCGGGAGCCAGCGTAGCGCCAGGGGGCAAGGTCGCGCCGGGAGCCAGCGTTTCGCCAGGAGCCAACGTCGCGCCGGGAGCCAGCGTTTCGCCAGGAGCCAACGTCGCGCCGGGAGCCAGTGTTTCGCCGGGAGCCAGTGTTTCGCCGGGAGCCAGTGTTTCGCCGGGAGCCAGTGTTTCGCCAGGGGGCAAGGTCGCGCCGGGAGCCAGCGTTTCGCCAGGAGCCAACGTCGCGCCGGGAGCCAGCGTTTCGCCAGGAGCCAACGTCGCGCCGGGAGCCAGTGTTTCGCCGGGAGCCAGTGTTTCGCCGGGAGCCAGTGTTTCGCCGGGAGCCAGCGTTTCGCCAGGAGCCAGCGTAGCGCCAGGGGGCAACGTCGCGCCGGGAGCCAGTGTTTCGCCGGGAGCCAGCGTTTCGCTAGGAGCCGGCGTAGCGCCAGGGGACAACGTCGCGCCGGGAGCCAACGTAGCGCCAGGAGCCGGCGTAGCGCCAGGAGCCGGCGTAGCGCCAGGAGCCGGCGTAGCACCGGGTGCCGGTGTAGCACCCGGTGCAGCCGTAGCGCCAGGAGCCAACGTCGCGCCAGGGGGCAACGTAGCGCCGGGAGCCAGCGTTTCGCCAGGGGGCAACGTCGCGCCGGGAGCCAGCGTTTCGCCAGGGGGCAACGTAGCGCCAGGAGCCGGCGTAGCGCCGGGAGCCGGCGTAGCGCCGGGAGCCAGCGTTTCGCCAGGAGCCGGCGTAGCACCCGGTGCAGCCGTAGCGCCAGGAGCCGGCGTAGCGCCGGGAGCGGGAGTACCATCAGGGGCCACGGTCGCTCCTGCGTCGGGACGGAGAGCGGACGGACAACACCTCACAACGTCAGGAACGCACAATGAATAAATAATGTACGGCGCGAACGGACTAGCGGAAACACCAGTAGATCATCTACAGCAGTACGAATCGGTCCTGGATTTGGTACATACACCGATATCAAAGTAAACTCTACGGTTGTTGGCAAAAAAAAGAAGCGATACCAAAAAACGGGCAAGCTCGACACTTGACACCCGCTGTTGGTACCCGTTGTCGCCTAGTTATCTTAACCCTCCTCTCGTTGCTATGCAATACAAACATACACAACCCAGAAACCGACCGACCGTAAGTACCGCTGAGCAGCGTTGGAGGACCCGGGGTGGTGAGAATAAATCGGTCCAGGGGCGTCGAGGTATTATACGCAACCTTCCTCAACCGCGCCGGCAGCAAAACAAACACCCGCTCCTCCTGATGATAAAAGAGTCTAGTACCTGGTGCCATGCTGGGGACAGAAGTCGTCGCCAAGTCGGGGGCGAGGCTAGCAGCGGCAGGGCTGACAGTTTCCCCTGCGGGAGCCACCGTCGCCTCTGGAGCATCCGTAGCGGCCGCAGGCGCCTCGGTGGCCTGCTCGGGAGCCGCCGTCGCCTCCAACAGCGGGGCCGGCGTAGCAGCCGCCGGCGCATCGGTGATCACCACCTCAAGGGAGGGGGCTACCGTCTCCTCCACGAGCGGGGCGGGGGTGACAACGGCGGCGGGCACCGGCGTGGCCTCTAGGTCGGAAGGGGCCGGGGTGACGCTCGGGGGAAGTGTTTCCTGGAGCTCGTTGCAGGGGAGGCACGTGTCGTCCTCCGTCCAGCCCACGCAGCTGAGAAAAATAGGGTGGGGGGGCGGGTGACGGACCAAAGGTTTCTCATACATTTCTAGAAGCGCAGAGCCAACTACAACGTACTTCGGGAAGAACGCTTTAAAAGTAACCTATCTCCCCTTGTATGACCCCGACTGGCGCGCCGAAAAAATCGAAAGGGGGAAAAAACTCCACATCCGGAAAAAAAAAAAAAGGATGGCGACCACACCGCAAACACCCCGCACTCCCGTTTCCCACCGTTTCCCACCAAAATATCACACACGAACATCCAGATGGCACGGGCGAGACACAGCAACAAAAACAAATGCGACAAGGCCGACAAAACTCACACGAATGTAAACGTGGCAGGAACAAAAGGGAAACGGCGCACAAGATATACCGACAATTCGAGAGCGGAAAAACGACAATTTAGAAAACCGCTCTGAAAGCGATTGGTCTCGTTCTCACTTGTCGGCGCGGCAGGCACGGCACAGTTGCCCCAGTCCCCTCATGTTGCACCACAGTCCACCGAACGGGTCCGAGGGGGTATCGGAACACTTGTCATCGCAGTACAGCGTAAGGCTGTTATCGTCAATGTAGCTCAAGTCGGCAGAATCCGCGTTGTCTTCGCAGGCTGCAGCGGTACACGAACTAGCGTCTGATGCAGCAAAGGGCCGGGGAGGGGAGGGGGGGGGGTACCACGGTACAACACACACACACACACCAACGGGAGAAACGGGAAGATTAGCGTTGGCCAATCAGGTATTGACGTTGGTCGGACGTGTGTGCAGTCGCCCAAAGTCCCTCCCAGAGACACCGACGGCCAACAGAAACCAACAGCGGCGGGGGGGGCGGGGGGCACATTTCGCGCCGCCTCCCCCCAGAGAATGATTCAAAGCAGACAGGGTTGGTTAGTTGGATGGTTGCGGAGAGAGCGAAAAGGCGAACACGGGCGACCGGATGGCGAAGCTGCAAAGAGCAAAGCAGTCAAGTCAGGAGGTGCACACAGGACAGCTTAATTGGTTGCGGAGAGCACGACCAAAAAGGACACAAGCAAGCAGGGCGTAAAAAAGAACACTCGGGGCACATGCAAGGCATTGCCCAAATTCATGATTTTCCTTCACTGCTGTAGGTAGAAATCATAGTCTAATGATGAACACCCATCGCGCTACGTTAACGAAAACAAAAACGACACGACGACGTCGGCACCGAGGAAAAAAAAAAAAATCACGATCCGATCCGATTCGATCCGGTTTCGCAGAAAATAAAGCGGTCGGGTGGCGAGCTACCTAGCTCTCGACTCAAAGCTTTTCGCCGGGCGCGTTCACAGAAAAACGAAAAGTCGGTCAGATTCGGCTCCCAGGTCGTGGTTTCCGCATGTTGTCGCTCGTACGCTCGGTGTCGTGTCGGTGTCGGTAATTGTACCGTTTCGGATAGTCTGGGCGGAGTCCGTATGCGCGCCTGTCGGTGTAGAGCCCACCTCCCCCCCCGCCCCCCACCCCCACTCCCCCTATAGATCCTCGGACGTGCGGGCCGCGGCCGAATCGCGGCACAAACCTTGTCGTTTACCTTTACCCTCGATTTCCACGCGGCACCCAGACCCGTACGGAACCATGTCTCCAGTCTCTCTTCCTCTCGCTCTCCATAGCGTTTGCGTGAGAGTGTGGGGTCGGTCGCCAGGGGACGTCCAGAAGCCATCCCCGGGGTTTCCAGACACGAAAACAAATTCTCCTGCTCCGCCGAGGCGTCGTCTTCTTCTCTCGCGTTGACAAAAACAAATGACGAAAAAAAAAAAACTTACCTACCATCGCAACCCCAACCTCTCACACTTGCCAGACTGTAACTTGCGCGGTAGCAGCAAGAATGGAAGAGCCCTGTTCAGGGTCTCACCGATCGGGAACGGGGGATCCGTTTCCCCCGGGGATATAGGAGCAAGGGTCAATCCTTCCTCCTGCGGCGCCGGCGTGGTTTCCTCGGGTAGCTCTCCGTTGCACGGGACGCAGGCCCCCGAAGACCCCTCGCAGCTGTCGATCGATGGGGCCAATCAAACACAAGAGGGGACCAACGTGTTTGTGTGAGGGTAGACGCTTGTGGTGGTTGAAATGCATGCCTTCGGCAAGGGCAAAGAACACACATGAGATGCATCTGGCCATTTCGCACACACGTTCTGCGTAGGTCACATCGCCCAAGGCGAAAACAATACTCGAGGTTGCACCTGTCCATTTCACAGACACGTTTGTACGATATCTTCTACTTCGAAAAACGGTTCTTTTAGGGGATACCCACTTGTAGACGTCGCAAGCACGGCACCCCTCCAGACCAAAATGATTGCACCAGGTCCCCCCGAAGATGTCGGTGCCTGTGTCCTCGCAAGCAGGGTCGCAAAAGATGGTCTTTCCCTCATTGTCCAAGGCCTCCATGTCCGCATCGGAGCCCTGCAGGCACGGACGGTATTTCATTTCGCAAACAGCACTTGTTTTGTGAAAAACAAAAAATGTCCGTAGTAAATTACGCAGACGCGGGCATGGGGGACACTAGTGCTGCTGTACAATAAAAAACGCCGCACAGAGGTATACAATGTCTGTTCTCCTTCATCCCTGCTGCTTTTTCTGCTTCTTGCACCAGCCTACAGCACGTTATTCGCAATGTTAGAGAGTCCCGATCACAACACAGCGCCAGGGATCTAACCCTCCTCCGCCTTCGATCCGGGTAGAAACCCTTCACTTCCGCCATCGTCATCGACATCGCCAGAACGTAGTCATGCAGTCAGTCCTATGATGCATGGTCTCGTGCCCTCAAACCAGGCAGGAAAGAGCGCGAGTACTCTCTGCCGTCGTTCCTTGATGTTCGCTTCGTATCATGGCCGCAAGTCTCCCTTGCCATGAATGTTCCGCAACAGAGGTCTACCCGCCGACGAGGACTCATCGGCTTATGGTAGCTTTCAGCATCCAGGATACCCCTGCCCTCATACCTCTTGCCTCCATCTACAAGCACAAGACTGTCACTCACCAGGAGTCATACAATCAAGCCGCCCGCCTCACCACTAACTACAGCAGTAACTACGTGCTATCTTTCCCTTTAGCAGAAGACTTGCCATTCACTCGCCATTAGCTACTCACAATGCCCCCGCATCTCTGGGCGGGCACAGCAAAGCCCGAAAATAGAACAACATATTCACCTGGCAGTCAGAGTCCGACGAACAAGCATCCAATCTCCGCGCGACTTGGCCAGTCCCAGCCTGTGTTATCCTTGCTACTCCACTTCTCAAGAATCCTCCCGCTCCCGTGCCAGAGGCTGTTGATGACGGACGATAAGATCATGCGGGCGAGGTGGGGGGGATCCCGGGTAAGCCGACAATCTTGGTTACGAGAGGTAGCAAGGACTCGCTGCTTCACCTATATTTGCTTGGGGCGGTGCTGGGACGTGATTCGGGAACATGTGTTCTTCCTGTTTTGGGGAACACATAGTCCCTCAGGGAAGCGAGTACTCCAGAGGTGTGACTCTTTTGACGGCTACAGGACCGAAAGGCGACGTGAACCGAGGGAAAAGCAACGCTCAAAGACCTGCATGTGCGTGACACGAAGGCATGAATGTCAGGAAACGAGTCAACGCTCGAATTGACACTCGCTCGACGAGATCCTCCCCTCCCCTCCCTCCCCCCCCCCCCCGCTGTAGTTGCGCATGCCGGAGCCACCTTTGGACCAACCCTTCACTATTATTGAAGCAGAAAATTAACAAAATAAATGTCGTCACCAAGAGGGTTTATTCGAACAATTGGTTTTCGCATACAAAATGCCAAGGCATGTAAATAGTATTCCGCGAACCCAGTAGAAAGCGCATAAATAGTCATGAGTAGAGACAAGGGGGAAGGAAGGCAAGGGACTACTCGAGCATTGGCGGGTAAAAAATAGACCGCAGGAGATAGAGGGCATAACGAAGCCCACAAAACTCTTGTGAATGTTGGTGCAGCGGTACTATGTACTTCAGTGTAACCCCGGCTGGGTCTCAAAACAACATCTAACGCCGAAACGTGTACAGGCTGGCGCTCGCAATAGATGGGACGAAATATCGAAAACACAAAACCAACGAGAGATAAAAAAAAAAACGTAAATACTTCTCCGAGGGAACTCTGTGACACGCTGATCGTATGGAGAATATGTTCCCCCAAAACAGCTGTGTATCAAGTAGTACTGGTAGCACGCTGGACATCGATGGATCCCCTGTGCACCGTCTTGGGTTCCCACTCGTCTATGTAGAGCTGATCACTACGGAGAGGTTACAGGCTGGCGACAACCTGCATCTGCACATGGGTCAGTCAGAACGTACGACCTTTGAACCACCACGCCCAAGTTTACTTGTAGTTCTGAACAAACCCCATGGTTTTACATTCCAGGTATCAGGGAAGCATGCTCCACCACGGACTGGCTCCAGAACCAAAAGAGAGGTTGATCGATCGCAACTTCCACCGCAACTATCCGCACGCCTCTTGTGCTGCGGCGGAAAAATGGTGCCGTCTCTTGCTGGAGTGGAGCTCTCTGGCTTCAGTCCATGACTCGTGCAACACTGCTGCTGCTACTGCTGCAGTAGCGGAGTACGCCCCGAACAACCATCGATGTGGTGTGCACATGCATATCCAGAATCCTTTTCTTGTTCCCGCCACGAAAACAAAAAAGACGTCGTGCGTCGGCTCGTACCCCTCTTGTACACGTATCGTACACCGTAATTAGGTACCTACATTTCCGTTCCTTTGTTCCTTTGGCGGCGAAGGGGGCCCCGCCCCCTCCGGTCTCTCTTGTCTGCTAACTTTCCGCTTGTTCGGAAATTTAAATATGTTTCGCACGTATTTTTCAAGAGCGCCTCTCTTGTCCGCAACAAACAATTTCAGAGGTTCGGTCGGTCCATGTTGCGGCAAGGAAATGAATTTTTCCGGATACCATCAGCTGCACGAGTGCTGAGAGGAGGGGATCGCCATCTCTCAGAAATCGACATCACAGCAGCAAATGACTTGTCTTCAAAACCCACGGGAACAGCGTGTGCCAACGGGGGGGGAATCGCCTACGTAAAGAAGTAGTGTAGCATGACCACCGCAACATATAGGACTGACACCCTGATACATGCTCAAGATCGCACGCATCACGTTTCCGCGGTGCACAATATTAATACTCTGCGCATGTTCTTTTTTCCTTGCTCCCTCTCTTCGTTTGGTTATTCGAGGACATCACAGGGGAGAACGCCCCCGGGCTTACATGTATAGGCTAACTCCTGGAAAGATGCATGTCTCTGGTATCTCCCCCCACGAAAAAATGTACCTACGTACATCGCAGCGTACACAAGGTGTGACGTGGGGCTCTCTAATATGTCGAGGAAGGCAAGAACTACCTAGGTATTGTTGGTCGGTCTTCAGGTCTCCATACAAGATTAATAAAAAGTAAAGTATTATTTCCTTCACGAGAACCCATGAACGTATGCATGATACATGACCTAAACAATGCCGTGTACAATAAGCATCATGTGCGATTCGGCGTATCGCTTGAGGGACGTGCCCACATGTGTCCTGAGGTAAGTAAAACATGAACAACAGACAGACCCTACAAGTACTAGGTGAAAAATTGGCAGCAGCAACCTAAGATCCGTGGGGACCGTGGTCTGCCGGTGGTCCAACCTAACGTACCCATCTCTCGCGCTCAGCAGATTACGAAGCTGCGCAACAAACAGCGCATAACTCACGCACACGCCGTTGGTTCTCTGCTCCTCGATCGTCTTTCCGTCTGGGTTACAAGCGGAGCAGGAAGTTGTTCGCCCACATCCGCCGCAAGCAATAGGATACAAGCCCGCGTTTTACGGGAATGCACAAAAAAGAAGGACAGCAAGCAAGCGTTCGTCCTCTCACACGCCGTGCAGAAGGGTGCAGAAGGGTCACCCCGCGTAAACTGCAACGGCAGGCGAACCACAACGAAAAAAAGGCTGGTGTGCTTGCTGCTGCTGTGCGGCACCCGGAATCCACCTCGAAAATAATTTTTGAGCACGACGACAGGCCGGGAGCATATTCTGTAGCGGTGAGTCCGCCCCTCTCTTGCTTCCCTCCCAGATAACCGCTAGGTCCACCCTACACTCCGGCAACAAAAACACCGAGCACACGGCCGGCTAAAGTAATGCTCCAAGCACCACGCCCTGCGCAGAATACTGCAAGATCTTGATTTCGTAAAGGGGAGAGGAGGCAGCAGGGGACGAAGCTCATCGTGCCCCACACGCCCGAACACGTGTGGAGGGACGGAGAGAGCGTGCCGGACCAGTGGCTCGATCGGCGGCATTCGGACCAAAGGGACTGCCGTTCGCTAGGCCCTTCATCCTGCTGCCTATCGGCTAGCTGTGTTACAGGTGTCTCTCTCTATCAAAGTGACCCCGCACGAGTGTGTAACGAAGGGCTTGGCTGGTTTCGTTTGTCCGATATTCTGGCAAGCATCCCTTTTGGTCTAAAAAAAAATGACCAAAAAGAAGGTGCAACTGCTGCTGGTGTGCTCGACCGAGAACCCGAACGCAAGCTGGAAAGCACAGGCTTCGACGCACGTGTACCTGTACACGCCTAGCAGTCGACGCCCCCGCAGTTGTCCGCGGTAACACGCTTGTGAAGAAATCACGCGGGAGAGTTTGAAAGAATACAAACATAAAACATGGAAGCCGCGTTTGGTTCTTGGGCGTGGTGTGCCTGCCTGCCTCTCTTCCTCGCTCATCGAACGCGTTTCTCCCTGACCAACTCTCCTGCGTCTGTCTGTTGAACTTATATCTCTTCTTGTGTGTCTGCTGGAAAGTCGTGTGGGGGTAACGGCGGTACTCTGGTGCGGGAACCGAGGTCTGAGCGCTCGCGACGAGGCTCGGGCGAAGCCGGAGGAAGCAAAAGTTGTGACTTTTTTAGTTAGAGAGCCAACTTGAGAGAGCTGTCAAAAAGAGGCCCTCTGACAGCAGGGCGACCTAATCCGTTTCGGAATTTGGCCCCCGTTCCATCACACCCACGCCACCTTGACTCACCTTGACTCAAGGTCATAGCCGACACGAACGCCATCCCCGCCAGCGCTCGCCCCCTCCTCCACCTATTTCGCAATCGACTCCCCCCAGCGGCGCCCAACCCTTTCGCGCTTCTCTCAGCTGCCCTCCTTCCTCCTCGATCCCGTGCTGCCCGTGCTCCTGCTCCCCTCCTGCTCTCCCATCGACTTGTCAACTTCCCTGCTAAACCCGGTCTAAGAGCCTCGCGTCGAGAGCATGGTTCTGGTACATGTCGCGTTGTCTCCAGGCCCATCGCTCGCCCCTGTGGCCCTCCAAACGGACCCATGCCTCGCTTAACCTTCTCACGGCGGCGCTCTCCGCTCTCTCTCTCTCCGAAAGTCTCGCGCGCTCTTTGGGGGATTCAACAAGAGAGGGAGAGGGGCAAGAGAGTAGACGACCCGACCTGTCGAACCACACCAGCCTACGCGCCGGGAGAGCGTCAGGATCAGAGCCGGTAGCGTCGGCACGACCCCCGCCTCCCGTGTTCTCCCCTGCTGCCCGCTTGCCCTGCGCTTTGCCCGAAGCAGGCGTGCTCCCTCCGCGTTCGGCGCTCCCGGGTTGTCTCTCTCCAGTACCTTTGCAAACGACCCCGAACGAATGTCTCTCACTTTCAGACAGACACCGAGAGTGGGCTGACTTTCTCAAGACCGGCTCATTTTTTTTTTCAGGGGGGCTCCGCAGAATATTTTACCGTGTTCCGCCGTGCGTGCGGTGCAAGGGGTTGGCACGAGATCCACCTGCCACCGGTGCGGACAGCCGAGTCCGAGACACCACGCACGCCCCTCACTCATCTCTTTTCAGAAAACCATACGGACACACTCACCTCTCCGTGCATAATCTATGTGGCGTTCGGGGCAGCGAACAACTGACGTGCGTCTCCTGCCTCCCGCGCTGTGTGGCATACAGGAGAGTGTTGCAGCAGTAAACAACGGGATGATGCTTGTACCTGTCGCATCTGATTTGGATGGATACGCATGATGGACAAAACGCGGATCTAGGCACGCCTTGTTGTGACTTGTGGCATTGACGCGTCGAGACACCGGCAACCCTCAGAGAGCCGCTGCATAGCTTTCCCACATACTTCTTCGTCTTTGTAATAGGGACATCAGCTACTCTGCATGTGTTGTTGAAGTTCAAATAAATGATGATGATGCTCATAATAAGCTAGCTCATCCGACGATGGCGGCGCAAGCAAGTATCCAGAGCCAACCCAGGTCGCCGCGGTATAACTCTCGCTTCAAGCAAGTTTGAGCATTGACCAAGGCGAATGCGACGACAGCATCGCACGGAACGGCATGGATTCATTCCAGTATCCTCTTTTCCCCACATCTCGCACATCGATATCATCACGTGTGATGATGATCAAAAACGATCAACCGCACAGACAGACCACGATCGATCCTCAACAACTGGACTCAACACGCTGCTGTCCGTGTGTGGGTGCGAGCGGCACAATAAAATCCGCATGAAAGATGTTAAAAATTAACGAGCTCTCATGATATATTTTTCGGTGGTCTACAGTACAGCAGTACCCATCGTCAATCTGCGTCAGGTGATCGAGTTGCATGGACAAGGGGGGTGTAAGCGTGCACGTACTTTACATACCTACCTACCTGTGGACGAAGATCAAGATTTATCTCATCAGGCAAGAGCAACCACTACTACTGTTCACGAGACCGCTGTAACTACTGTACCACCATCTCTGCGGCGCTGCTGCTCCTTCCGCGAAGACAAAACATGCATTAAAAAGACTCGAAATAAGTCCAGTACCCAGCCGGTTTCCCTCCACTCACTGAAAAGACTCCACCACATCCCGTTCGACTGTGGGTATATCTCGAATGGGTAGTCTTTCTGTGTGTGTTTATATTATTCCTTGGGCCTTGATGGCAAACACGCTTTGTCCGTACTCCCATTCGACACGTCACTTTTAGACTTTCAGACCTCTCCCACCCACGTTTCTACTCGCCCGGTACAGGGTTCTCCCATATGGACTATTTATTGTAAGAGGTACGTGTGCCAGTCTAACATGATTTCGTCCCGATATTATGAGTGAGTGATGTGCTGCTGCATGCAAGTTATGCGGTGTGCTGTATCTCAAGCAGCAAGCAGTTTGAACGTTCAAACCATCTCTATTTCTGGCAGCCCCCATAGACAAGAATCTGAAAGTTAGTTTTGTGTCCAAGGGATACTGCTGTAGATGGATACATACGTACGTACAGTAGTTTCGGGTACATAATGTCGGGGGTTGAACAAGACAGCAGCCAGTCTGTAGTCACCGCAGGGGCGATCCTTTTGGTTTTGTCGCACAAGCGGCCCCTCTGCGCGCAAGAAGAGTGATGTTTCGGAAACCCAGAAATTTTAGGCCAGAGTTAAGGATATCCGCGCTTATTCCCGGGAGGTTATTATACTGTAATTAGTAAACTCCGTTTGTTTCGTTGCTGGCCTCCTCCGAAGCTAACGGTGAGTATCATCACCACAACAAGTACGTGTGCCAGGTAGGTATACTCCTTCCCAACAACGGAGGGGGGTAACGGGCGAACCTCTTGTATGAAAGTAAAGTGTATACAAGTACATGTAAAACTGTCAGTCCCCCCACTTGAAACATGCGTATGTAGTCTATGTCTTCGCCGTAAAATAAATCGCTGTCCATATTTCACCAGCTGAGATTCCCTTTTGTGGCGGACAGCCGTACCTTCTAGCACAGCCCTCCCCCTCGGAGCTCCCGGGGTTGACACTGTACACGCGTCGTGGTAACGCGGCGTGGTAAGTGTTGACTTTTTCATGCCGGCACGAGGTTTTCAGCAGAAGTTCGACCGCCACCCTTGGCACCAAAGAAAGGCAGTCACCAACTCCATTTCCCGTTTGGCATCGTGCGTCATGTCTGGCGTATGACATGATAACCTTGTCGTGACTGCACTTCAAACCCCTCGAGTGTTGTTGCCGTTGTCGTCGTCGTAACAATCGTTCCGATCTCTGCTCAGCACCCGTCCAACATCGGTACTGGTCCAATAGACGGCACGGACACTCCCCGTGGGTCACAGGCTAGATGCCTCCAACGCACAAACGATAAGGCTGCATGGTGCCGGCATGATCTGTCTACCAACGGTCACTCGAACGAATCCCAGCAAAGTTGTGTATGGACCCGACGCTGCAAGACCTACCACGCGGCCTGCCCTTAACGCCGCTCCCCGGTTCTTCCATGGTGAATAAAGGTGGTCCTGACAACGACTCCACTCTCTTCGACTACAGCTGAGCTCTCACAGACAGCTGGTCCTCTAGGATCGACGGGGGGAAGCCCTTCGCAATGGGCAAGACGGATGACATCTCTACTCACCTACATGTAGTTGTCTCTAACGATGTGTTATTTTGTCGGCATGTGATTGCCGCCAACCGACCGACGGCTTCCATCGCGTGCGTCGGACGTGAATCCTGGGGGCTCCTGTTCTTGTCGACGGCACACATCTCCCTAGATCCGCTGGTCGACTTATCTTTCCGGCACCTTCCGACACAACCCCGAGATGACTTTGGAATCTGAATCCCTGACCAACCACGCCTTGGTTGTTTTTCCTATGCCTTTGTCGTGCACTGTTCTTCTATCACCGGGAACCCTTTTTGGTTAGTCGTGTAGCTTTTGCCTGAAGGGTTGCTAAACACTGATTGCTTGCCGTGTGGGTGCTACTCTCATTTTGCCAGTCGATTCGTCCCGATCGTTCCTCATTCTTGTCAATGCCCCATGTCCGGGGTGCAGATACGCCTATTCCTCTCTGTCCGGTACTTGAACGCCGTTCTTTTCCGTCCGTGAAGGAACCTCCGGGTTGCAAATTGGTTCCCAAATTCATCGAAGAGACGGAGGCCGGCCGGCTGGTCGAGGTCAAGTAAGGGGGAGCGGTGCTAGCGCAGCTGGCGGGGACCCTCATCATTCCCGTCGAGCCCCATCTTGCCCGAGTGGACGATCTCCTCCCCCTGGTCAACCCATGACAGTTAGTTTTACGAGAACCCGGGCTTCGCAAGGCGAGTTTATCCGCACTCGTATCTGTCGCTGAAGGGGCAGCAGTATCGCAATTATATTTCGGTTTTGCGCCTTTGACGACAGAGAGGCATGCTGGCTCCCCACCAAATCCCTCTTTGCTCCTGATACAAACGAGCGCCTTGAACGAAGTTCGTTTTCAACCCGCGGACTTTCTCGTCTGTTGTCCGAGCTACACGGTTGCGTCCGCTCCGCAAGAGTGAAAACTGAGGTTCGTTCTCACCGATAATTTGTGAAACTGAACCCTATCCAAATCGTTCCTTGTGGTTTCCCCACTGAACAAGGGGGGGAAGGGTTGCACAAAGAAAGAGTTTGTTACTACGTGGTGTTGCATTCTGTATTGTTGTGTTGGGGTGTTTGATGTGATATGTGTGACTAGTAGTCGTGGAAGTGTCACTCTCCGTTGCTGCCACATCATTCTATTCCTTCTAAATTCCAGGTTCGCTCCTTGCTCACAACGAGAGAGAGAGAGCGAGAGGCCGGAACACAACAGTTATGATGTAGTTACAGAGCATGTGCGACCGTCAAGACGTCATTGTTGGTCCAAAGGCCTAGACCGAAGGGAAGCGAATTTAAATTGTTTTCGTGCAGTGCAATGCAGTGCCCGTACAACGCTCACCATACATACGCTCACTCACAGATGTTCTGCTCCTTGACATGCTATGTCGGACTACTTTTGTATATGCGACTTTGATGCCGATTGCTAAGGAAAGCTCTCTGTTGTTGCTGCTGTAGGGTTCCTGGGGGCAACGTAGAGTTTCCCTGAGGGCTTCCGTGCCGTGGAAGAAAGTGCGTGGGTGCTGGTTGTATGCCAAGCCCTCGACCTTTGCCGACCAAAGGAACGAAGCAAGATTTACTCCAGATTGAAAGGAAGCTGACGAACATCGTCGGCGTTACTACAGTAGTCCCAGCTGGATTTTCCTTTTTGGAACATCTACATGTACGAGAAGGGACAGCTGTCTGTATTGTTCCGCTTGGCGCGTTCACTGGGTTACCGGGCCCGTGGGGCTGCCATGAAATGACTCGTATTACAGCATTATGTGGCAGATGCTGCGCGGTAGGGACCAACCCCATCTTCCACCATCATCATCATCGGAGACAGGTACAGTATCTCGTCAAAACGCCAAAGCTTTTGAAACTGCACAAATTTCAATCGTTTTCACTGGTCTTCACTCACACCTCGTTCTTGCGGATTTTTTTTCGGTTTGATAACATACAACACAAACGCTTCGCAATCAAATGGTCGAACCTTCCTTACAGAGGGTCCCCGCAGCTACCGTAGGAACCATGCCCCTAACAAACAATTGCGGCTAGATCTCTACGATAAATCAGAAAAGGAGGTTAAGAACCACAGCTAGTTCACCTGTGGAACCTACGCTAAACTCTCTATAAACAACCTACATGTTCTCGACAACGGTGGCGGGCGGCAAAAGTAAGAACTTGAGCGTCTACCCGAAATTGACTTTCGGCGAAATTGACTTTCGGTGATTGCGGACCCGTTCCGTAGGCATGCGTACGAAGTACTACTGGTACTTATTGTACACGCCAACTCCATACAAACGAACGGATGCCACATAATCCCTCGTCGCCGAAACGACGGCACCTAAAACAGCAAAAATTGGCGTACGCTACCTAGACCCATCCACGCAAGGCGCCCCCGAAACCAAGCTCATTTATACTAGGAAAACATGAGGTTCTCCTTCTTATTTGCCCCCGTACCGTACATACATTCGTGTGTGTGACCATCATCTCCGATTCTAACAAGAACTTTTGTGCGAATTAAAATAGACACGACAAGAGCCAAACGGCATCGATGTAAGCATAAACCCGTGCTCTCGTCCGACCCATGTGGTCGTCTTCCCAGCATCTACGATATCTACGATATATCGTACAGAATTTCACCCGCAGTAATAGTCAAGAAAAAAACAAATAGAGAGCGGGAAAAACGCTTCATGAAAAAATACATCAAAGGGTTGACAACACAGCTCAGCGGTGGGTCCTACGGTAAGCTCCTGTATCTAAGCGTTCTGTTGTCGACGGTGGCGAGGGAAAGTAAGAATTGAAACTACACGATTCTGAATTACAGGCCCGCTATTGCCCGTGGCGTGCTTGCCTCAGCCTCACAATCGTTTGTTCTGATGCAACCAACCTCGCAATCTTCTGCTACAAATTCGACGTTCCCCTTAGTTTTTGGCTCTGTGGAAAAACGCGCCACTGCTCCGCTCCAAATGAGTCACACGACGCCCATGTTATGCCATGCTGCTTGCAAGACTACCGTATCCCGTTGAGTCTCGACCATGATGCCAGCGCAGTAAGTTCGACATCGATACACTTGAACGCTTTGGTCACTGAAAATAACACAATTACTGCCACTCACACCAATCAATCACCACATCGACCTCACTTTCAATGCATGGCGTGCTTTCATTCGACACTCACGCCATGACGCGGCAACCGTCTATCCAGCGCCGCAAAGCCGCCCTATGCGCCCAACGTGAGGATCTTTTCAGCATGCGCGACGACCACATCATGCGGGCACAGCGGATTCCCCGGGCGGCACTCATCGAACGTGGGCACGTAATCTTGACTAGCTGCACCGGCAATCTGCCGGAGGGAGCAATACTCCTCACATTTCCCGTACAGTCGAAACACGGCCAGGGCGGGGTAGATGCACAGCCGGGTGTCGTACCTGGAAAAAATAAAGGGAAGGTGCCAGGGGGAGGTTTACATCCGGTTCGTTCGAAAAAGTGAGAAAATTAGATGGAGCTATGCACGCTTGCAGTTGAGTGGCTGCGTTGTTTCGCTGGTGGTCCAACAGGGAGGGTGGCATGAAGAAGAAGAGGTGTATAGAGACAGACCATGTCTGGTGCACTTCCGTCTTCTGGATGGGGTGGTGCTGCACTGAGTCGAGCGACGAGGAGCTCGCGACAACTTGCAATTGCAACGACAGTTCGTACCGGAGGGGGGCAAGCAGCAGCAACGCACGGAGGTACAGTAGTTCGGCAGACTACGTTCCAAGTATCAGCCAGAGGTACGTTGTGTAGCGCATTTGAACCCGGCCAGCCAAGGTGGGCACCCTAGAGACTCGCCGGGGCCCCTCGTGCTCAATTTCTCCATTGTTCCCGCGCACACAGCATATACTTCTATATGGGAACGTACGAGACCTCTGGCCGCCATGAACGGCTCGACGACGGTGGTGGCATTTGGCTCGCGTTCAACATCGAGCCTGACTATTTGTGCACTCAAAAAAGGTCTTGCTGGTGGTCATTTCCAAATTTCACTGGAAAGTACCGCCGGGGGTCACAGCCGGTAGTGGGTCCTTCCACGAGCAAGGTTACAAGAGCCATGTTTCGAGCAACCCACCTTGCTAAGCCTGGCAGTGTGTGGAAATGGTTGAGCGTGAGCTCGGCGAGGGGAAGCAGGCCGTCCGCCCGTGAGAGCCGTGCTTTCACCGCCATGAGCAAGCCTGACAACAATACCAACACCACCGCCCCCGCCCCCGCCAGGACGAGGTGGTCGAGCTCCGAAGTCAGGTAGCCGTGCACATGCGTCAAGGCCGGGGTTCCGTCCTCAAGGACGGTCGTGTAGTACCGGAGGGTGAGGAACAGACCTTATAAGAGGGGCGTGGTGGGTGGAGAAGGAAACGAGGGCGACACAAGAAAATAACACAGAGCTTAGGACGGGTTGCACGGTAACAAGGGGGTCAAATTTTGCACTTCAAGTATATACCTTTTTGGTCCGCCCTTTTGTGGAAAAAAGGGCAAAAAAAGAGACAAACCTTGAACGGCCTTATGCAAGGGTTCTTGTTGGAATGGAGGCTGAGAAGAACGTCTGTGCTCTCTTCATCAGATCCGGTAGACTTACAGATGGCTGTCGTTCTATTGCTCACCGTTTTCGTCCATGAAAAAACCGTGGTCGTTACGCGCCGTCGCGCATCGTTGACAGAGAGCACCACACCTTACAACAACATGCGTCCTTTTCATGCTTCCCGCTTTGTTCATGACAGTCGTAACGCACCGTCCGGCACCATTGACACGAACACCACACCTTAACAATAGATAACGATCATCTCATTTAAGGATCAGCCTGATATGAGCTGCGTTGTCATTGCTGCGAAAAAAGGGGGCTGAGAAGATGAGCGCACGGAACGAACCGCACGGGTGTCACTGCTGCTGCACTCTCGTGCGAGGGAATGCTTGGGGAAAGGTGCCGAGGCGCACCATCATCGGTCGTTGATGTGCAAGGTTTCGTTGATGTGCAAGGTTTTGGCCGATGAAACTGCCACGTCAACTGAAGATGCAGACTACACAATAACAAGGCAACAAACCCGTGCGCGTGATGTGAATACTTGGAACTATCCTTGAGTGAATGCCGAACCGACATGACCAGCGCTCGACAAAAATGTTGCGATTCGAGCGAAAAGACACATATCCAGCGTTAGACAGCGTTTAACAGTACACTGATGTTGGTACGATTCGCTACATAGGTAACAGGCAGGCTGCTTGGTGAGACCGGCTAGCTTTGCGTGATCATAGGGAAACAAGCGAAACACTAGAAGAATGCACACAGTAACCCTCACCCAACAACACCTCGTACTTCGAAGTACCTGTAGTTTTGGGGAAATGTTGTAACTGCGGGTCGATCTCCAAAAGTCCCCCCGGCACAACGCCCCTAGACGGCCTAAAACGCTAAATAGCACGCACGCTTGCAGACAACGGCGTACTCTAGTTACATTGCTGGCCTTGGTGGTTCACAGGTAGTCTTGCAGGTTTATCGTCTGCCTCGGCAACCTGAGATGGCATTGGACAAGCGAGATGAGCACTCCTGCCGACGGTTACCACCGAGAGGACCTTCGAACACCAACGCCAATACGCCTGCACTCATTTTCTCGGGGAAGGCCGCCGGAACTGTACTCGGCTCCGCAAATCAGCGCCCAGCATCATCCAGTAACCTCCAGAAAGGGCGCGATGTGCAGTGCGCGCAGCGCGCAGTAGTTCGTTGGCGTCTACAGGACTCAGTCAGCGGCTGGCATCTAGTCTACTAACAAGGACTGTGTACCTTTAATTGTTGCGCACCACATACGACGTCACAGCAGTAGTTGGTAGTGCCTGCGAGCCTCTTTGTCGCACTCATGTACATGGTGGTGTTTGTGATATGGGGCTGGTCCGACCATCAGAACACGAACATCACCAGACCACCGATGTTTTTGACATGGCTCTGGGCTTTGCTCTACATGCTGCAGTTCGAGCACCGAAAGGGTGACAAGAAAGTGGCGGGAGAAAAGGTGGCCGCTGCCGTGCTTCTTCCTGTCTACCGTCTGTGTAACGGCTACCGTCTGTGTAACGGCTACCGTCTGGGCAACGGCTATCACGAAGTACGCATACGTGCGGCATGATTACCTACTACCTCGTGTGCCTCTCTACGGACAACAAGGCCAACCAGATCTTCCGGCCTCTCGCCGGAGTTTCGTCCTTTGGATAAGCAACAACACCGCTACATGGGAGCAATGTCGCCTATGCCCAGATCCATATATATGTGTATCCTTATCGCCACACCTATCGATCTACATGTACGTACATAGATACATAGGGAGTTTTTGTTGCACTCGTGGTTCCGTTATAAATATAAGAGGGTGGTGTGACAACGGTCCTCGACCCTTTTTCTATCGGAACACCCTCTTTATATCGGTATACTAAGAGGGGAACCTTCTTATATCGGGGTCCTCAATAGTCTAGTGGGGTACCCTCTTACAAAGGGAAAATCGGGAAAAACGAGAATCAAGGGCACAATCATTGCATCGTCCGAGTAGGATGCCGTACAATAGATTGATGTATGCATACAATACATATATATATATATATATGTTGCGTTGTGGTGGGCTGGTATGTAGATAGAGCGGATCATAATCCCCAAGCGAACGCTAGGCGATTGATTGTGATCGTGATGGCAACGCTTTCGTTTTGGTGTTCAGTTTGATTCAAGGAGTGATGACACCTTGCCTGCGAGAGAAAACATGCCGTTGACAAGAGGAAAATTACATGCACATGCATTCAAACACACCAAGAATCGAGACGACAATGGCAAGCAAAGCGCGAAACCAACATTGACATGTTGCAAAGCCTCGACCACCTCCCCGACCATGAGAAATTTTCCTTCTACACAGGCTACTGCCGCACAACAACAAGAAAGACCAACCTCCACCTGCCGCACCTTAGTTTACTGCTGCGTGCCACAGAGGCGGGCCTGTATGAGCACACGCATTGCCTACATATAAGAAAAGTCCCGGATGCCTGCCGTAGTGGTTTAGAAACAAACGTGTAGAGAAAGGAACCACATTTTAGCCTTGCGCAAAAAGACCCTGCTGCTTCTACATTTTGATTGCCAAACAACCCCGCGCTGTGCGCCCGCGGGCCAAAAAATGAAGATAGTGCAGCGTACGGTGGGCAGCCCTCCCCCCAGCCCAGTGCAATCATCGCCATCGTCGTAGCTCTAGCTCGTCGTCAGAAGGGTTGCCTCCTGACAGCACATTAATCAATTACCACGTCATGATTGTTGGTGAAACCGGCCGCCACAACCTCCGCGCCACACACAATTGTACACCCATTGGGAGACTCAGTCGTGACGTCTGGGGTACAACACATTTCTCCAGCCGCTGGCACATGTTGTGTATGCTGCTACCGGTGTGGTTGGCGCCGCAATGTGTGTGTTTGTGTGTATGTGAAGGAGCCGAGGGAGCCACACATGGGTGCAGTCCCGAACTGAGTAGCCCCTTTATAGTGGGGTCAGCCCACTATAAAGGGGCCGGTCTCTATATATGAGGGGTGTAACCCTCTTATAGCGGGTCGAGCCCGTGACAGCCGATTTTGACTCTATTTTACGGAATTCCCGTGCTCGTTACCCTCTCATTCAGTAAAGGAACCACCACTGCCTGTATTCCAAAAAAAAAAAAGAAGGTCGTTGGAGTTAGGGTCTCTCGCTCTCAATTAATTAGTGTTTTTTGTGCTGTTTGTGCTATATCTTCATTCGCATAGCCCTCCCGTTCACCGATCGGGTCTCAAAAGCCGATCTCAGCCCACACTGCGACCCTCGTAGAACAACGAGCAGTTCCGTGTGGCTGAGGGAGGGTATCTCGAGACGTTTGAGCAGCTATCTCTTGATGTGGCGCGACGAAACCGGTTTCTGCGTTTTCGACACGATGCTTGATGGTAATGGTGGGAGCAGGTTGACCTGTTGTCGAGGATCTTTCGTTTCTAAAGCTCATTATCAAACTCCCGCACCCATCGTGCAGAAGCAACCATCATGCAGGGCGCGTTCTGCTTCTTCGGCTACTGCAGCCGCCACCCCGTGCTTCTGGTAGTGTTGCGTATCATTCTTGCTCGGGCATACATACATGAACCACAAGCAGCTCTGTGAAACCGAGATGGGTTCACGACCTCTCCTTCCGTGTTTGAGTGAGCAACTGCTGTTCCTGTAGCTACGCTTGTTTTGCGTGTTGACAATGTTGACGGTAGGATAAGGTTGACTAGTCGTCCGAGAGACATTTTCCCTACAAACCCATCATGCAGCGCGCGTTTAGTTTGCATCTTTCTTGGGATCGGGAGTTCCGGAGACCCATGCTTTAGATAGGAATTGGGAGAATAAATCATGGACTGCGATACAAGCAAGTAGTTTCGCGTTTCGAACCGTTTGGAACTGGACGGGACGGGGGGTGCCCCCCCCCCCCCCCGCATCATCCTTGAGGCTCGTGTTGAAAAAATGGCGGACTATGGTGTCGAACAAGCTATCGCGGAGGGCTGACTCTATTTCATAAACCGTGCAGTGTGCCTACGAAGACGGAGAGGACGGGGGCAGAGATAGAAACATACTACTGAACACAGCAGCACAAGCAAAGACTGGTGCCTCCCGGGACTCACCGTCCGAGACTACGAGACTGGGGTGGGCGGACATGGTCGGTGAGAACGAAAAATTGTTGCTCCGGCCGTCCTCGATGAGGTCGCAGACGTGTCTCCCTCTCGGCGTCTCGACCTCTATCACCAACCCTTCGCCTCCCGGTCCCCGCACGGCATCGATGGGGTTGTCGCCGTCCAGCATGTCCGCCGTAAGCGACCGCAAGCCCTCCGTCAAGCGCTGCAATCTCAAGTACGATGACATGACCCGGTCGACGTCCGGCGAGCGGCTGGACAGAGCTCGCGCCTCTTCCATGCCCTGGCGACACGCCGCCGCCTGCCCCAAGAAGGCGCTCGCGACGGAATAGAGAACCAGGGCCGAAACCGCCAAGCGGTCCACGAGGTAGCGGCACTGCTCCCTGCAAAGCTGGGCGGACTCCATGTACCGGGACACCTGATCCGAGGGGTAACCCAGCATGAGAGCTCCGATCGCGAGGCTCGAGTAAAAGGAGCACCGCAGCGCTTGCCCCCTCCGCAAGTCACCGTGGCCTTGGAGGCCCTGGCTCGGGTTGGCCATGGCGTACATAATCCCCTCTCTGATCGAGCTGTCATCGGACGCTGGGCACCTTGCGAGGGAAACGGAAAAGAACAAATAATTCCCCGAGGAAGTTCAGCGCCGTGCTGTTGCTTACCGTAGCCTCCTATCTCCTAGATCTGCCAGACCGAAAAAACAATATGGAGGAAATATGCCGCCCTCAAACACCGTCTCTCAAAGGGCAGCTATTTAGCTCCGTAGGAGGATCGGACGACGGGACAAAGCACTGACCAGCCCCCAAAGATGTCGGGACAACAGACTCGTGCTGAGAGCGAGGTTCAGCCTGCGGTTAATCGTGGGGCTATACTGTACATGTTGCTCGCAGAACTTTTGGTTTACGGCGAGGGGGTGAAAACATGGGCGGGCACGATGGCGTTTGTTTGTGGTTTTGTCTGTTCCGTAAACTGCTGTGCACAAACCAGGTCCTGTACGCACGACACACACCAAATTCTGACGTGTAGTAGATTTTAGTACACGACTGCACGACTCCCTAGCTGCAGGTTGTGGGTTCGATTCTCCTCCGGGCTTTTTTTCCCGGGGTTTATTTCCAGCATTCCGAAGTCGAAAGCGATCTACGTCGTGAGTAAACACACTTCGGCTTCACGGTCGATCGACGAAGGAAAGGGATGGCTAAACCTTCTCGCTATAAAACGTAAGGCAAGCACAGCAGGGGGTAGGGCAATAAAACAAAAACATGAAAAAAGCTCCTGTGAGACCTTCCTCTTGTGTGAACCCGGCTGATACGTCAGGTATATATATATATATATATATTTTTTTTTTTTCTCCCATCATTGGACTCTGTCGTCTGCCCCTCTGGCCCCCATCCTCCACTTCTACTAGCTAGACGACCCAACCGGGGTCACATAGGGGGGGGTTGGACCTCCTCGTGCAGTTCCTGCCTGAGATATTTTTATCGCGAGAAGGGTACAGCAATCCCTTCCCTCGCGACTTATGAAGTCTATCTAGTTTACTAACAACGAGCTTTGCAGCGCGTCACTTCCAACTTAGACTAGGATATATTAGTGAGAAAAAGAACTCACTTTGCCGGGACTCGAACCCATGGTATATACCATACGCTGAAAGGCCTGTAAACCGGCACCAGAATAGATGGGACGAACACACACACACACACGAACACACACACACACACACACACGTGCAGGTTTTCTTCTGCTGCTGTCGTTTATGTCTTTAATCCAGAGAACAGCTTAGCCTCCCCCATGACGCCCCCTCACGGGATCCCAGCTCATGGCGTTTAGAAGCGTTCTTTTGTGTTTTCAACCGCACTGATGAGACTGACGTCTTGTCATTGGTCAGCCAGTCAGCGCGGTCGATGCTGTAACAATATAGACACACAAGGACCGAATATTTGCTAGATTTTGGGATTAGCAACTGACACGAGTTTAATGTGAAGAAAACAACAACAGCAACAACAACAACACCCACACATCCCAATATTTCAGGTCCGTACGCACGAGACCGCGGAAAACGGTCGTGTGAAATTTGGAGCAACAAGTGCGATGTTGAGAATGTCCCGAGAGGAAGATCTGCTTTTTTTGTCAATAGGCACAGTTGCAGTTTTGTGTTATTCTGTCAGCACGCCCCCCCCCCCCGAGTCGAAGCTCTGTGCTACACTGCTGTCAGCACGCCCTGCCCCCGAACCACTTATTTATCTGAGCCGACTGAATATATATATGGTAACGCCGAGATACTGCGGCTGCTGTGTTTGCGAAAGATACAGAATCGTTGGGGTTCAAGTCCCATCGCCGCCATGAGCAGGAACAGATCCCCCGGGCCTCGCACTCCTCCCCGGCGCCAACGAAGGTGACGGCAAATGTTCCGAGAAGTTCATGGGGGAGAACGCAAGGCTAAGCTCGGCCTTGCTTTGGGGGCATTCGGTATGCCGTCCACGCTCGTTGCATCAACACGCATGGCAGCCACATGCATCACTTCAGGATTTTGACTAGAGGCTTCCGGGATGACGCGCCCGTGACGGAGATTGGGACTCGAACCCCACGCCTCTATCTCTTGCTGATACCGGAGCAGTTTTCGTGCTACAAACCAAGGCCAGCCGAGTGGCACACAGGTTAAGTGTTAGAATGGCTTACCCATTAGACTACTCAGTCAGCGCTAATGGGTAAGCCTTTCTAACAATAAGGTGTGCTTGCTATACCCAGCGGGACCAAGTTGATTGGCCCTCAAGATGTTCAACTATCAAGAACGAACATGAAGAACCGGTGATTCGTTGCTCTCGGGATCAGGGGTCACAAAAAAAGAACAACCGCCCCTGCGCAAATGGGGATGTGCTGCAGTCTGTCCACATGACGTTTTCGCCCCCAAGTTTTGGCGCAACGAATCCAAGCTCGGGGAGGGATGTGTTCATGGATCTCTACTTATTGCTGTAGATGCCTCATTCCAAAGTCTAGCGGTCGACCTATGTCGGAAACAGATTCGGCGAAACAGAAAAAGTCTTCGAGAAGTCTCTGCAAATGAATCATTGCATGCCATGCACCTGTTGTGTATCTATGGATCCACGTGTACGATAGTTTTTTGGCTCAAAGTTCAGTCTAGACTACGACACGATCATGCACGTGATCATGGGGCAAACACACACGGCTTGCCTGCCCCAGCCCCCCTAGCATGGGTTCAATCACGACCTTGGCTACCTACCCTACACCCGGGGATATTTGATGACTTTCCTCTCAAGATATCAGGGTGGAAGAGAGGTAGGGCACGGTGGCACCATGAAAAATTCATGTACAGAGTAGGCATTTGAATCTGCCACATCCAAGAGCCGCCGCACAACACAAAAGTCCCCACACACCGCGGAGAGAGCGCTATCCGTTGTGTAACGACCATACCACGCCAGGAGAAGAAGCGCGCTGAAAACGAAACCATGGCGAGCAAAAATGTGTAAATACTTACTAGCGGTCAATCGGGAATAAAAACGTAGATTGTCTTTGGGTGCCGTGCTGGTGTGTGTTTATGTCGGTTATTATAGCTTACATGGGAATAAAGTTGGAGATGAAGCAGGATATGAAGTTGGATTCCAGCAGGCCCCCGAGCTCTGTCCCAGGGGTCACACCGGCCGACGGCCATCCCGCTCGCATCGCCATGGGCGTCGTATCGCTGCTGCCTAGAGCTCGACCTCGGGGATAGGGAGGAAGTGGGCCCACCTGGATGTACGACGACTCTCCTGTGGATCGACAACGTCACAGCCGTCACATCACGTTCTGACTCTGTAGTTGAGTGAGAGGGGCTTCTGCTGGCGGGCGCGTGTGTGTCTTTATTATTTGCACCTACCGCGCTAACCGGCTGACCAATGAAAAGCGCGCGTGTGTGTGTGTGTGTGCTATGCTCTTTGTTTGTGATCATTTTTCCCGGTGGGGCAAATTTCTCTGAGGCAACCAATCGGCGAACATGCAGACAGCAGTTGCATCGGTTGCTGACCGCACGCGAGAGAGCTCCTTCCTTCGGCGCCACACTCCGGCGACGAACTGGGGGTGTCCCGCCCACGAGAGGTGTGCAGTCCCGGCGCGCTCCAGAGCGTTAGAAGCTGTACCTCTGTGTGCATGCCGCAGGTACGCATCGATAGATACGTACGTGATGCGTTCCAATGATTCATGATTGATTCCAAAGGGTCACGCCAGCCGTCAGCCCGAGTTCACGAGACAAAAATTTCACAAGAGGTCCTTTCGAACGTCCGAACGTCTACCTGGTATGCATATGAGTGTTCTTGTTCCAGCCTCCCATGCATATCGGACCAAACCCATACGTCCCGTCTCCGTCTCCATCTAGCGTCACTGATACCCTCCAGCCGCACGCACACGATCACTACATGCAGCTTTTTCCAAATGATGCTCCGTGTCATCCATCAAGGTGTAATCCTAAAAAAACGGCGATGAGCGTCACGCCAGCCACCGAAAGAAGGAAGCATCCATGACCTACCTACCGCGGTCGTATCCAAGGTATCTAAGGGATGCGTGGACCACACCCAAAAACTCACCTTGGACGCCATGCCACATCATCTTTGTTTCTGGGTGCATGTCGCCGCTGTGGTGTGTGGGGCGGGGGCAACGGGGGAATGGTTTATCTTGTGGGAAAACTGGCGGTTGGATCTTGAGAGACACCAGCTCGGCGGCTTCTAGGCGGATAATTAGAGGGGCACTTGAGTGCGGAGATGAGCTGGCAATCACGGAAATGGGGCGGAAATCGTTGCGGGTGCTGGACCTGCCTCTTCTGTTTAGGTCGAACCAATGCGTGCTTCAGTCTTCACCTCAGCTCCACAAAAAAGCACCTACCTGCGTGCACGGGGGCAAATAACGCCAGCACACTCCGAGAGACGACAATCGATTCGGGGTATCTGGAGACGCGCCATTCTTTTGGGTCTACAGGCGTCCTGACAGATCATTGATTGATCATTTGTACATGCTGGTGTTGTGACATGCCATGGAGTTGCCGCCCTGTATCCCTCCACGCCAGGTGTTGGCAAGTCAATAGGTAGGTGTGTCTATGTTATTCGTATCGACCGCGTACCCGGTGACCAATGAAAATACGAAAAATAGTGCCAGCGGGTATATCAAGGTCCCTGGAACGGCCAAAATTCGGAAAATAAATGCACGTTGCTCTAATGGCAATGCCACCATCAATCTCTCCCCATATCATTTCACAGAGACACGCATCAATACCTCCACATACATACATGCTTCGTCCGAATCTAGCAAGCAACGCAAAGACAGGAGGACAGCAAAAATGAACACTTCAAGCCCAACCAGGCCAGGATATCGTGGTATGCTGCATATATCCTCCAAATTTGAAAATCGTACAACACTCCCAAGATCCAGCAGTCATCATGTCAGCACAGCTATACTACACAGCAGCAGCAGCAGTGTATGTAGACGGGTCCAACATACAGCAGTACTGCAGTACCACATACACTATCATCATAGCTCCACATATACCCTCACCCGAACCTAGAGAGCCACTGATGC